GAATTGCCAGAGAGCTGGAGATAAGAGCTTAATGGTAGAGCACCAGGCTAGCTTATATGGGGCTCTAGATTCGATCCTTGGTAGAGCTAACAACAGCAACAACAAAAAGATAATAATACTAAAATAAAGGGGGAAAGAGAGGAGAGTTGTATTGGGAGAGGGTGAAGGTTTGAACTGGAAGTAAATAGGGAGGAGTATGCCAAAGCTGCTACTCACATGTAAGCATCCTGGGCCGTGCATATGGACTCGAAGGATGAAAGGCTTTGCTTCTGTCACTGCCCGCGTGCACGGTACACAAATGTATATTCGCTGTCATGCTGCGTCCCCACGAGGCCAGGAAGGCAAGCGTTATGACTCTTGCTATACAGATGAAGAAACTGAGGCTGTGGTAAAGGAAGTGACTCATTTGTTCAAGGCTCCACGGTTAGCAGGGAGCCATGTGATACAATGAAGAAAACTTACAGAGGATTTTGGATCGCAGAACTGGGTTTGTGTCCCAGCCCCCATACTCTAAGTAGCTGTATGAGGCTGGACTACTTCAACAGCTCTGAGTTTGGTTTCTTTGTAGGTCATGGGGAGGATCGGGTAACATGATACCATGCCATCTGTAAAGACTTGTACCGTACAAGTGTTTCATTGAGGGTCAAGGTCAGCAGGTGAGCCCAGTAGGTCAGATTCGGGTATCTAGTGCTCTTGATCACACACCACACCTTGTTTTGGACACTAACTCATTCATAATCCTTTTCCGGTGTCAGGCCCTCTTCCCTAGCCAGCCCGGAAGCTCTTCTCCCTCCCCACTCCTTCCAGGGCTGACTTACTGATCGCTGGTTGATAACCACCTCCCTAGAGAGTCTGTTGAGCTTTCGGCCCTCGGGCCTTGTGACTGCTGGCCAGAAGTCCCTCCTTGCCTTCCTGCCTTCCTGCCCGGTTCTTTGCTGGACTTGGGAGGGTCTTAGTCTTTTTGGTTTTTGGTGTTTTTTTTTTTTTTTTTTTTTTTTTTTTTGGTTTTTCGAGACAGGGTTTCTCTGTGTAGCTTTGCGCCTGACCTGGAACTCACTTGGTAGCCCAGGCTGGCCTCGAACTCACAGAGATCCACCTGGCTCTGCCTCCCGAGTGCTGGGATTAAAGGCGTGCGCCACCACCGCCCGGCCTGGTTTTTGGTCTTTTAAGACAAGGTTTCTCTGTGTAGCTTTACACCTGTCCTGGAACTCGATCTATAAACCAGACTGGCCTCGAACTCACGGAGATCCACCTGCCTCTGCCTTCAGAGTGGGACTGAAGGCGTGCGCCACCACCTCCAGTGAGGTGTCCTACCTGTGCTTAGTCCCCTTCTGTGTTGATCTGAAGATTTCAGGCCCAGGAGTGAAATGCCAGGACTCAAATAATGCAGTGGACACACGAACGACCCCTGCCCCTGAGGCTTTTTTAGCTATTTTTTTAAAGTTAGTATATAATAAAATAGATTTCATTATGAAGTTTTCCTATGTGTGCATCATATTTATCATTATACTTTGCTCATGGTCCCCCCCTCCTCTCTCCACACTGATGTCCTTCCTCTTCCCAGATAGTTCCCCTTCTGCTTTCATGTCACATACACACACACACGCACACATATTTAAATCTGATATATATTTAAATTTAGATTTCACATATGAGAGAAAGCATGCAATATGTTTTCCTCCTTAAGTAAGCCTGTCGGTTTTTGTTTTTGTTTTGAGACAGGGTTTTACTATATATCTTTGGCTGGCCTAGAACTCACTAGGTAGGCTAGGTTGGTCTCAAACTTACAGTAATCCTCCTGCCTCTGCTGCCTGAGTGCTGGGACTATAGGTAAGCACGCCACACTCAGCTATGTGTGCGTGTGTCGGTATGTGCGTTTTGCATGCGTGCCGGTTCCCTCAGAGGCCAGAGGCATAGGCTTCCCTAGATCTGGAGTTACAGGCAATTGTGGAGCTGTTCACAGGGGATGCTGGGAATTGAACTCAGGTCTTCAAAGCAGTACCTGCTCTTAACTGCTGAGCCATCTCTCCAGCCCTGTCATAGACCTTTTACCTTCATTTCTTGGAAAGAAAAACAGGCCCAGAGGGGATAAGTGCCTCGTGCTTGGCTGCGGCAAGGCAGAGCTGAGGTAGAACTTACTCTCTGGTCTTCCAGTCTGAGGTTCTTTCTACTGCCCCAGAGGGCCTTTATTTACATTACTACCCACTCCGAGGGTCTATCTGAAGATCTGAAGGTTGAAAACATACTCATATAAATCAGATGGGAATCCTGTTAATGGGAATGTGAGAAGTAGCCTCATCAAGTAATACCATTTCCCTCCCAGCTGGTCCTAGAAGAAGCTGCAGCCTGGGAGAGAACCAGTGCCAATGCTTGGATCCATTGCAGCCCACTTCCCAACAAGGGGTCCCCCACTACCATCATGCACACTGTCTTTACTTTTGAGGCTTTGGATCAAATATTGGGAGATCAGACTAGTGAGAGGAGCCCATATGTAGTAGATGGTCTAGCAGACCCTTGTATCGAGGAAGAATAAAAATAGCTAGCATTCATTAACCAGGTACTATCCTCAATTTTTTGGGGTTTGTTGTTGTTGTTGTTGTTGTTGTTGTTGTTGTTGTTTTTGTTTTGTTTTTCCAGACAAGGTTTTCTCTGTAGCTTTGGAGCCTGTCTTGGAACTCACTCTATAGACCAAGCTGGCCTCAAACTCACAGAGATCTGCCTGCCTCTACCTCCCGAATGCTAGGATTAAAGGCGTGCGCTGCTACCACCACCACCCGGCGTACAATGTTTTAAATGTGATAACTAATCCATACAATAAGTATGTGGAGTCGATATTATACTCATTTAGCAGATAAGAAAACTGAGGTTCAGAGGAGTGGTTTGTCCACTGTCATTGCTAGAAACAGCAGTTGGACTGGGATTTGATCTTAGGCTCGTACTAGAGCTCATATAATGCTGCAGCTTTGCAGCATCTTGCTCAATACCTCTTCCTTGTTTCTAATGTTTGTCTTGATGAGATTTGGGGATGATGTCAGGATAACTGAGAACAAGAAGTGGGTTTTCTCTGTATATCTTCATCTTTTCTTCTCTCGACGCAAACCGATGGGCGAACCGCGCTATGAAAGTTGCCTTAAATATAAGGCGAGCGCTTTGACCATCTTTTCTTCTCAATAGGGACAGGTCTCCTAAATCAAGAATGTCCCTCTCATCTCTCCATAGGTTACTACTTCCAGTGGAGTCCAGAAGAGCGGGGAGGCACCGCCTCCACTGCGACAGCTTTACACACAATGCAGAGCATCAAGTGTGTGGTGGTGGGTGATGGGGCTGTGGGCAAGACGTGCCTTCTCATCTGCTATACGACTAATGCCTTCCCCAAGGAATACATCCCCACGGTGTTCGACAATTACAGCGCCCAGAGTGCAGTTGACGGGCGCACGGTGAATCTGAACCTGTGGGACACTGCGGGCCAGGAGGAATACGACCGCCTCCGCACCCTTTCCTACCCTCAGACCAACGTCTTTGTCATCTGTTTCTCCATTGCCAGTCCACCCTCCTATGAAAATGTGAGGCACAAGTGGCATCCAGAGGTGTGTCACCACTGCCCTGATGTGCCTATCCTCCTGGTGGGCACCAAGAAGGACCTGAGAGCCCAGCCTGATACCTTACGGCGCCTCAAGGAGCAGGGTCAAGCGCCGATCACACCGCAGCAGGGCCAGGCACTGGCCAAGCAGATCCATGCTGTGCGCTACCTCGAGTGCTCAGCACTGCAGCAGGACGGCGTCAAGGAGGTGTTTGCCGAGGCTGTCCGGGCAGTGCTCAACCCAACTCCGATAAAGCGTGGGCGGTCCTGCATCCTCTTGTGACCCTGGCACTCAGCTTGGAGGCCACCCCATGTTCCCGCACCAGTTGTGCCTTGGCGCCTTGTCTGCCCCCAGCTGTGCCTTAAGGACTAATTCTGGCACCCCTTCCCAGAGGACTCCCTGAATGCCTTTTATTCCTTAAGGAGGTACACAGGGAAAGGGGCTTTGGGCCCCACCCCACTCTGCTTGGGAATACCAAGTATTCCATGAGTTCACCCAAGCCAGGTTGACCTCTCCAAGAGGCCAACCCAGTGCTACCCTCCATTTCCTGCTACTGACCAGTTCATCCAGCTTTCCACAAAGTTGTTGCTGCCTATTGTGGTGCCTCCTGTCAGGTTAGGGGCTCTAACCTCTCTGCCTTTGCTCTTGGAGTAGGCTCTCCAAGATATTCTCTTCCTCCCTCAGGGGAGGAGCCACAGAACCCTGAGAAGAAAACTGCCCTAACCTGCCCCATGTGCCCAGGCCTCATGCGTCTGCTGACTGACTCAGGCCCCGTGCTCCTGGGGGCCTTTCCTACCCCCATCAGCATCAATAAAACCTCCTGTCTCCAGTGGCCCCCGGCTCCTCCCTATGTGCTGGGCATTAGCGGGTGGGCATGAGCTAGGGCTCCCCAGAGACTGGGAACCTTTTGTTTCCTCTAAGAGGGGATAGAAGACAGTAGGCTTCATTGTGGTTCCCTACCACCACCCCTCAATTTCCCTAACAAAGCTCTGGGGCCCAGCCACAGATGCCATAGAAGACTAGGATGCAAAGCTTGAGGAAAAGACTTCCTGGTCAAGGCTCCAAAGTGGGGCGTTGAAAGCCATGAGTCTAAAGACATGTGCTTTCAGTCATACATCTGAGTTGTCCCCTCATGCCTACAAGGGGACAGATCTTTACTGGCAGGATTATAGCCCAAACCAGGCCTCTGCTTCAACTGAAGACTCCTAGCTAGCCCAGCTTCCAGGCTGAGTCATTTCAGAGGAGAGCTCAGCCCCTAGTGTGCACCAAAATGGAGGCTGAGGGCAGCCATAGGAAACACTAGGCAGCAGGGGTAAGGGAGAGCCCACAGAAAATGGGCTGCTGTAGCCTTAATCCCTCCCTTCCTCACCTCAGTTCCCATGTACAAATGAGCCCCAGGAATAACAAACCTACCCCAGATTGTTGGCAAAAGAAAAAAATTTATTGTCCTTTGAGATAAAATATACAAATCCAAGCTGGGGATCTGGGGCAGTACAGAAAATGAAGGAAATCAAGGAACCCATTCTTGAATAGGGAAATCTACCTCTGCCCCCTTGTCAGAGGGAAAGGTCTTAATATGCCTGTGATTTTAGAGGCTGATTATTTTGGTTTTTTTTCTGAGACAGGGTCTTTCTGTATAGCCCTGACTGGCCTGGAACTCAGTGTATAGACCAGTCTACACAGATATCTGCCTGCCTCTGCTGTGCTGGGATTAAAGGCATGTGCCACCATGCCTGACATTTCATTTTTGAGACAAGGTCTCACTGCAGCCCAGGTTGGCATGGATCTTGATGCAGTCCACCCGTCTCAGCCTCCAGTGTGCTAAGCTTACAGGCATATTTCAGCTCGCCCAAAAAGCCAGTGGTTGTAGATGGGAAGGAAAATACATCCTATGCTTGATGCTTCTGGGACAAGTCATCTGTCAAGTACAGAGCACTACTTCCATCAGATGACCTCAGAGATGCCGGCAAAGCCTTCCCCGCAGGCATACACAGGAACACAGTGAGGCTGATGGGAAGAACATACATCTGGAACACCTGGGCAATTCATAGAACTACAACCACTCTAGTAGATCACTAGACACATCAGTCAAATGAATGACCTAGAGCGAAATGGCTGTGATCTTCAGGTAGCAGCCATTGCTCAGTGGTTCCTAACCTCAGTGAAAAGTGTCTATTTAAAGGTCAAAAACTAAATGATAGTCATGAACCTCAGGACCTTTTTTTTTTTTTTTTTTTTAGCACCAAATGGTGGAGCTTTCCTGCCAGCGCAGTTCTGAGGACCTTTCCGTTAGTGGTGATGTTTCTTGAAAATCCCTGTGAGGGTTGGGGACACACCAGCATGCTGGGGTGAGCCTTGTCACGCCCACTCCTGCTCTTCTCCCCCAGGTCCCACCTGGAGAGGACATGGAGAAGGCCGGAGTGGCTTCTTGTTTCTGAAGGGCAGTGGGTTGCCTCTTCCCAGCATCAGAGAAGGATTTAGAATCTCTTTTCCTCGGGCTGAGAGGTTATCAGCAGCTCTTTGTTCCCGAAGTCCCACCAGGCTGTCATGTGGAACGCCATGTTGGTTAGGACAACAGTGTACTCCAGGATGGCAAAAATGGTATACACTGTTACGAGGACACAAGGAATAGGGCATGATGAACCTCGTTTTACCCTCTTAGTGACTTCCTAAATCATCACATTACCAGCCCACCACAGAGAACACAATGATAGCCAGTACCCAAGACCACTGCCTACTATTAAAAAAAACACCACAGGTGCTCTGAAGTCACTTATGACCATTTACAGATCCTAGCCTGGTCTCACCTCCAGCCTCACAATACATGTTGTGCCGGAAGTAGACAGCCAGCGCCGAGAAGAAGGAGACGAAGTTGATGATGAAGAGCCGCTGTTTCCAGCTGTAGGACTTGCGATCCTAGAGGATGGACTATCTGATCACTCTGCAGCTTGTTGGGTATATGTGGGTGGGCTTCCCTCTTAGACTTAGTTCCTAAGGGCTGGGACTCCCCCCTTGGTTCCCAAAGTGGTCATGGAAGGAAATAACAAGACGGGCAGCAAAAATGATGAGCATGTCCACATCCCTGCATTTAGGGGGATAGTGAAGCCAAGGAATAGAGCTATCTCTTGTCCTTCCCACTTCAGTGGGATAGAGTAGGAAAGATGCATGGAGTTCACCCACCAACCCAACACTTTCAGGTATTGTTGGGCAAAGGAAGGCCATGTATGTGGGTGGGGGTTCTTACAAACCAGCCCACTGACATAGTGTTTCTAACCCACTGGGCCTGGCTGCTACCCTTGATTTTGGCCCCATCTCCAGCCTCTATGCATTCTCCAGTACTACCCAAATGGTTGACAAGTCAACTATTCACTTTTCTCCAAGCCTCGGCCCAAAACCCCCATGCCCTTCTGCTGGGTTCCTAATAGAAAGTCCTTTGTCAGCCATCATTACCCACATCCTGAGGACAGATGTCCTTGATTTTCTTCTGGGCTTCCTAGTGCCCAGTAGGGGTAGACCGTACCTCCTGACTTACTGTGTGCTTCTTGGTCAGCCGCCAGAGAATGCAGGTGAGGAGCATGTAACTGAGGGATGCCGCGATAAACACAATGAAAGCATTTTCGTGGATGGCTGGAGGGAGAAAGGAGGATGGACACCACCCTCACCCTTAGGCAGGAAAGGGGGCTGTGCCCTCTTCCCGTGCCCTTCACCCCTCCCTTGTCTGGGCACCCACTGAAGTCTTCAGAGGAGGAGACGTAGGTGAGCACGAGCAGCGCGAGGTTCTCCACCACATTGAGACTGAAGTTGAGGCGGCAAAGAAGGCGGTAACCTGGACATGGGGATGCACAGCTGAGGTAGTGGTTCCAATAGGCGAAGGCCGTCAAGAAGCGGGGTGCCGAGTGCAGGCCAATGCAGAAACGCCACACGTAGCGCTGGGGAACCTCCCCACCAATGGCAGAGCTCACTGATGGCAGGTAATTGGGCACCTAGAGAGTTAATCCAGGAGTCAAGGCATCCCGTTTGCCGGTCCCGCCCACCAGGAAGGCCTTCTTCCCATCTATTAAAGCCACCCCTTTTTCTTCCAAGTTCTCCTTCTGGCACCCCCTCAGCCTTCCACTTTTAGGTCCCAGATCTGATATGTTTATTCCCTAATCTGCCTGGGATTTGGACAAGAGTAAGGTTATCTCCATCTTTCTTGAAACTGAAACCTGCACGTTTGAGCAGGTGTGCATATGATTCAGGGTCTCCCTGTGCTGATAGCTCAGGGTTGTGCCTGAATAAGGCTCTGTGGGCATCCCAGGGTCCCGGGCATTGAGTCCTGAAGACCAGGATGAGTCACAGACCTTTGGACTTCATTTGGAACAATGCTACCCTGCTGAGTTGTTCCTCTCACTGCTCCCAGCTCCATGCATTCCCCTAGGCAGGGGCGCCAATGTGTAGAGGATGCTGTGAGGTCCTGAGGGGAGCCAGGACCTCCAGGAAATCTCTATCCTAATTGTGTGATCATGTTTAAGAAAGTGGGATCTTCTGCCAGGCAGAAGAGGTGGCCCACACCTTAATTCCCCACATACAGGAAGCAGGGGCAGGTGGAGCTCTGAGTTTGAGGCCAGCCTGGTCTTCAGAAGTTCCAGAACAGCCAGGGCTATAGAGAGAAACAAAACAAAAAACAAACAAAAACAAAAAGGAAGGAAGGGAGGGAGGGAGGAAGGAAGGGAGGAAGAAAGAAAAAAAGAAAGTGGGGTCTTCTAACCTGATATATTCTAAGAAAATGGCCCTGGGGCTGGAGAGATGGCTAAGAGGTTAAGAGCACTGGCTGTTCTTCCAAAGGTCCTGAGTTCAATTCCCAGCAACCAACCACATGGTGGCTCACAACCATGCATAATGAGATCTGGTGTCCTCTTCTGGCCTGCAGGCATACATGCAGACAGAACACTGTATACATAATAAATAAGTCTTTTTTTTTTTTTTTTTTGGTTTTTCGAGACAGGGTTTCTCTGTGTAGCTTTGCGCCTTTTCCTGGAACTCACTTGGTAGCCCAGGCTGGCCTCAAACTCACAGAGATCCGCCTGGCTCTGCCTCCCGAGTGCTGGGATTAAAGGCATGCGGCACCACCGCCCGGCTAATAAATAAGTCTTAAAAAAAAAAAAAAGAAAGAAAAAATATTCAAAGTCTCTAAGAAAAGAAAAGAAAAGAAAATGGTCCTGCTGGGCATTTTAATCTCTTCAGAGACAAAGGCAGGTGGATCTCTGTGAGTTCCGGGCCAGCCAGGGCTACAAAACAAGCCTGTCTCCAAAGAAAAAAGAAAAGAAAATGATCCTGTCCATCTTCCTCAGTGCCTAGAACTGCTCATTCTTGTGGAGTTGCAGTCTCACTCCCTAAGCTTGGTGAGAGAGAGGAAGGTAACAGTCACAGAGCAGAAGCAAACTTTAACACACATGGACTCGCTGGGGAATTGTGTGGCATGCAGGTCTGGAAAGTGAGAGCTGCTTTTGTAAAAGATTCCAATACTGGAAGCTGTCAATCCATTGCCCACACTTTCTACAGACGTTTAGACTCAACAACAGCCAGGCCACTGCAGAGCCTAGCAACCCAGCGACTCTGCTCTATGAAGGGTCCAGTCTTTAGATCTTCAGAAACAGAATTCTGAAAGTTCCATTCCTTCCTTCCAAAGAAGACACTGAATGAGCCTCTGGACTGCTGGTACAGTGGGCAATGCTGGAGGGACCTCCCATGGCATGGGGTAGGCCAGCCAGGACCTCACAGCCACCACAGCACTGCCCGAGGAAGCTAAGAGAGAGTTTTCAGAGAAGGCGCTCTAAGAGCTGGGTCTATACCCCAGCTCTGTCTTTATCATCTAGGTGACCTTGAGCAAGGCCCTTCACCTCTCAGCTCCAATGTCTTCACTGGTAACAGTTATAATGTTACCTATCTTATAGGGTGATTAATTTTGTTTAATTAATTAAGACAGTCTCACTATGAAGCCCCAGCTGGCCTGGTACTTGCTATCTAGACAAGTTGGCCTTGAATCACAGAGATCACAGAGATTCACCTGAGTGTGCTGGGATTAAAAGCATTTGCCAGTATACCTGGCTTTGTAGGGTCACAGCACTTCTACGGTGGTAGAGCTTCTACAGTGTCGGGCCCACAGTGGGTATAAAAGTGACGGCTTTCATGAGAAGCCTGAGAAGAAGGCTATGAGTCACAGGGCTACTGAGTATAAGTAGCCCTTTCCACTTACAGGGAAAGGCAGCACAGTAGGCAGTGAGTGAGAGCGCTTGCTTTTACAGCCTCTCTGATGCCCTGAGTTGGGTGACTGAGTGCAGCCTTCCTGGAATATTTACTCTGAAGACTACTTCCCAATCTCGACTACGTTGTGGGGAACAGGACCAGTATCTAAAGCCGACTGGGAGAACTGAAAGCATTCAAGGGAGCAGCCCCTAACTGAGAGGAAGAGGTTAGCGACTGTCGGGCTGTCTTCACAAACTGCTTTCAGATTAAAGGTGAGGCAGGATTTAAGAGTAGGGACTGTGTCATCCATCACATACAAACATTCACACATAACCAGGTAAATATTCCCACCTCCTTCTCCAGCACATCGTTTCCCTAATTCACTAACTGTATCAACAACAACCTCAGAGTCTGTCAGACACCAGATGCACACAGTTCATTCCAAACGTCCCCATGAGACCGGAGCTAAAAGCACTGATGGGCAAAGAACCCCTTTCTAATAGAGAAGTAGATCAGAAACTCAGAGAGGGAAAGTTCCAAGAAATCCCTTAACCAGGGACTGGAAAGATAGCTCAGTAAAATGTTTGCTATGCAAGCATTAGAACCTGAGTTTGAGACCTAGAGCCCAGGTAGAAGCCAGGCACAATGGCATGCACTTGTAATTCCAGTGCTGGGAAGGCAAAGATAGGGAGATCCTTGGGACTCACCGGCCAGCCAGCCTAGCCAAATGAGACTGTCTTAAAAACAAAGTGGATATGACAACGCAAGATTGTCCTCTGGCATGCACACGCACACACGCACACACGCACACACATACACACACACTCCTTATCAGACTATACCATTAAAGAATAATTCTTTTGGCCTCAGGCAAAAGTTGTCGTGTCCCCCCCACCCCTCCCCCACACATATACTAGTTATAAAAGCCTTATCTACCTTCTTGTCCTCCAACCTTTTACCAACCTGACAAAAACTCCAGCTCCTGATGATCTGGTGCTGGTCTGTATCTTCTTGATGTTGGTCGCCAGCACTACAAGCCAGTGCACTAGCATTCCCACTGGTCTCCCTATTCTTTTTTTTTTCCTCTTTTTTTCTTTTTTCTACATAGGGTTTCTCTGTGTATCCCTAACTGTCCTAGACCTCGCTCTCTAGACCAGGCTGGCCTCTTGCCTCTGCCTCCAGGGTGCTAGGATTAAAGGTGTGTGCCACCACTGCCTGGCTTGCTTTTCCTATTCTTGATCCCTAGTCTTTCTCCATTCAGAAGCTGGAAGGAAATTCTAAAGCACAAACCTGATCATGTCTCTTTCTGCTTAAAATTTTTCTAAAGCTCCCATTACCCTTAGGATAAAATTCACAGTTGTTAGCCTGGTATTCACAATGATCCTTTCTTACCTCCACACATTCCAGCAACAAAGTTCCCTCCTTCAGGAAAGAAATCGTCTCCAGTATCCAAGCTGGATTAAATGTCTCTTCTGAGCCCTGTGGTCCCTGTATTCCCTTTTATCACAGTAAGAATCCCAATTCAGTGGCAAGAGATGGCTCAGTGATTAAGAGAGTTTGCTGCCCTTCTAAAAGACCCCAGGTTGGTTCCCAGCATCCACCTCAGGCAGCTCACAGCCATCTGTAACTCCAGCTCCAGAGGATCTGATGCCCTCTCAGCCTCCATGAGTACCTGAACTTATGTGCACATGCCTACACACATAGAAATAAGTAAAAATAAAATCTTAAAAAAAAAAAGAATTCCAACTCACTATATTGGAACTATGTCTAAGGATTGTCTCTTGTGTGAATTAGATGCTAAGAGCAAGTGTATATTCATCTCCATGCCCCTGACACACAACTTGTATTCCTGGTCCTTCAGAAAAGACCTCGCAGATTGATCTAGGAGGCAGGAAGTCCATCCTGGTTTCTAGCTACCCTGAGTGGACCCAGGTTGTGGGGCCTAGGGCTGCCAATAGAGAAACCAAGCTAGAAGATCCCAGAGTTAGGGGATCGTTCCCCTAATCTGAGCTAAAACTACCTGTTACTTATCCTAGCTCCAGGTCTCATACACATCCTTAGTCCCTAGCTTCCTCTCGTCTAGTTTTTCTCCAGTATCTTCCTCATTTTCCTGCCCCATTCTGCCCAGCCCCAACCCCTTCCCTCCCCCGCATGCCCTCAACATCCTCTGCCCCACTTCTTTGGCATTTTCTGTAATCCTCTTCCAACTCTTAGAGGTGGTGGTGATTCTACTCTTGGAGTTCCTACCTCTAATTTCTCCATAAACTCTGACCTGTCCCACCCCCAACCCTTTGGTTACTTTCCTCTCTCTGATCTTCCTTTTCCTCCTACTCCCCGATTCTTCCCTTACCACGACCTCATAACCTGCCCCTGCCCGGGGTGCTGGGAAGCCTGAAACTCACCCCACAGTCAGTGGCCACCGTGTACTCAAAGTGGAACACCAGAGACCAGATGATGCAGAGAAGAAGAAGCCGAACAGGGGAAAAGTGATGACCCACCAGACAAAGGCTGTGAAGCGGAGCCGGAACACGGTCCCATCGGGGTCCAAGGGCGCAGAGAACATCCTGTAGGGAGTGGTCCAAGCAAGGCAAGGGACACAACTTGGGGCCTGGGAAAGTGGAGCCTTTTCCAGAGCTGGTACAAGGAAAAGCCAGAACATAAGTAGACGGGGGGACAGAAAACAAAAGGAGATGTGACAGGAGTGGCAGAGACAGGCAGGGGCAGTTCTTGGGAACCATGGCACACTGATGCTCTAGTTCCACCTTCTAAAGAGCCTGGACAAGAAGCAGATCGCAGGGCCTGAACACTGGAACTGTGATGGTTTCACTTCACAACCCTCACGGCAACTGAGAAGGATCAGAAGTGGAAAAGTCATTATTCCCATCACACAGAGGAGGAGACAAAGGCCCGGAACTATGCCAGGATCCAGTGCCTGGACTAAAGCCTTTTGTTATCTAGCAGTTTAAGGCTCTAAATTAAGGACCCTTGGCTCAGCCTAGCTAAGCCCTCCCACTGACCCTGTCTGATCACATTCCTCCTTCTCACCCATGTTCAACTAGGAACAATGAGAGTGTCCTCGGCCCATTTCAGTAGAACCACAGGTTACCAGCCATTCCACCCCCAGGCTCTGAATGAGCTAAGCCGCAGGCAGCAGCACTCTGATCCTATGGAGGACCAAATATCCGTTTCATTCCCCTCTGAGAGGACTACCAATCCAAAATCTGGAGAAATATGAGGGTCTTCGGAACCTTCTCCCTTCAGCTTCAGCTAGTGCACTGAGTCAAAGCCAGGAAGCCTGCATCCAGGGTAAGCACAAGTCCCGGAAAGCTGGCCTTTTCCCATTCCTTTTTCCTTCCTGGCAGAGAAGTTCCACCCCACAGCCCCTCTGGCCCTGACCACCATGGTTCCTCCAGCTGGGCTCCATTTGGGGCAAGCTAAGGCAAACAGAGATGGCTTTGGATTAAAAGGCCTAGGACCAAATCTTTCCCTGGACCCCACACTTCCTCCCATTAAGGAGGAAGCGGACCCTAGTCTACCAGACTAGCTCTTCATCAGGAATGGGGTGGAATGGGAGGCTGGTCAGGAAACACTTACACTGGGTGCTGAAGAATCCTGGGCTGGGATTGAGGGCTCCAGCCAGACTGAAACTGCTTCAAACCAGAGGGTCCCACCTCCAGGTCCTCAGGGCCTGCCTTCCGCCCACAAAACCAAGTTCTCCACGCCTGCCCAGGCACACAGCCTTCTCAGAATCAACAAGGCCACCTCATAAATCCCAGAACACTGTGCAACTGTAAGAAGTGATAGTGACTAAGGTCAGCCCACGAGCTTCTCTGCCGGGCATGAAGGCGGAGATCTTTCTAAATACTGTGTCCAGGGGAGACAAGTGTCTTTCTAGAAAGGGAAAAAGAGAAAGAAGAATGGGATCCAGCTCTTTCTGATTGAAACATGACTGGGAATCTCTTTTTTGCTCCACTAAGAGAGCTGACTACTCCTGCATAAAGAGAATCAAAGGCCAGAGAGGTGGCCACCGAAGGGTAAAAGCACTTGTCATGCAGCGTGATGACCTGAGTTAGCTCCCCAGAACTCATAGAAAGGTAGACAAAGAGAACTGACTCTCAGAGTTATCCTCTGACTGCCACATGTGTGCCACGGGACATGTGTGCACAACTACATGTGCCTGAGCGCGCGCACACACACACACACACACACACACACACACACACACACACACACAGTAAATAAAATAGGATCAGATCCGAAAGAGTTCTAGACAGGCCTGAATAGGAGGTATCAGTGTCCAGCCTGTACCTGTACAGAAATAGCTAATGATAGCTTGGGCTTTGTCAACCGAAGTCTGATAGAAACAGGAATAAACAGTATTACTTGTGCCTGTATTTCCCAGGTCAGCTCAAGTCCTATTATCGAGATTTGGGCCCAATAAAGACAACACAGTTACCAACTGGACTGAGTCCAAGGACATATTTAGGGTTGTAAGGAGCCTATAGACCCTATTCTGGGAGGAAGGTTCCCTCCAAAAATGAGAGTTCCTCTCCTAGGACAGACTCGGGGGTCTCCATTACTGTCTTCTCGTCTCTGCAGGGCTGATATAGTGACAGGAGAGCACAGCGCTATGGTTATCACAACAGAGCCAAGGTCAGGGCAGACATTTGGGGAAAAAAAAAATCTATTAACCAAGCATGGTAGTGCACGCCTTTAATCCCAGCACTTGGGAGGCTGAGGCAGGTGGATCTCTATAAGTTCAAGGCTACCCTGTTCTATAGCAAGTTCTTAGCCAGCAAGAACTGTATAGTGAGACCCTGTCTCAAAAAAAATCACCTCCTCCAAATCTATGCTTATTATAAAAAAAAAAGAGTGTGCTCATTGTCAGTTACTAAACCTCTGTAGAATAGGTTACCTAAAGAAGGGAGCTCCGCCAGGCGGGGTGGTGGTACATGCCTTTAATCCTAGCACTAGGAAGGCAGAGGCAGATGGATCTCTGTGAGTTCGAGGCCAGCCTGGTCTACAGAGTGAGTTCCAGGACAGGCTCCAAAGCTACACACACACATAAAAAAGGGAGCTCCTTGTTACTTGGGATGTGTAAGCAGAGGCGACATCATTGGTGATGGTGTGCTACTCTAGGTTATTTATTTTATTCCTAGGGTTGGCCCTTCCTGAGATATTCTGGATAAAAAATTCAAAGCATAAATGAAAAGCTTCAATATCCAACAGAAGAGTTCAAGGGAGTGGGGGTGGAATATTCCCAGGGTCAATAGGCAAGCAACTACCCATGCTTTAGTTCCCTAGCTGGTATGCCAAGAGTGGGTAGTGGGTATCAGGTAGGCTGAGGTCACTGGTCCCGTTAGCCCTCAGGGCCAGTCGGAAGGGCAGAGCAAACAGCCTGCTCAGTTTGACTTATAAGCTGTAAAACCTTTTTAATTTTGTTTGGACTATCTGCCTTTCCCAACCACTAGACTGGGAAGTCCTATCCTTTTACCCAACAAATACTTTCTGACGCAGTGCGGTGCTTGTTCTCACGGCGATCCCAGTATGGTGTAGAAGACAGATACAGATATGGTAGGACAAATATGTAGGTAATTAACACCAAGAATAGCAGGTACTTAGAAGAGGGAATTAAGTTTGCCTCAAAGAGGCTAGGCAAGGTGTTCTAGAGGAGGAAACACCTTGGAAAGGATTTTCAGGATAGACAGGAGTTAGGTAATGGGAACACATCTTAGGTAAACACTAAGGCAGGAAATGATCTTAGATCACCCAGCTCAGTGGTTCTCAACCTTCCCAATGCTGTGACCCTTCAATACAGTTCCTCAGGTTGTGGTGACCCCCAACCATAAAATTATTTCTTTGCTACTTCATAACTGTAATTTTGCTACTGTTACGAATCATAACATAAATATCTGACTTGCAGGATATCTGATATGTGACCCCTGTGGGAGTCACGACCCACAGGTTGAGAACCACTAACCTGGCTACTTTCTTTTCTCCTACTCCTGTTCCTTCTATTTACTTTTTACTTATTTATTGGAGGGTGGAGTGAGATAGTCTCACTCTTTAGCCCAGGTTGTCCTTGATTTCAAGTGAATCAGTTTCCTGCTTCAGCCTCTCTACTGCTGGGATTATGGCATGAGCCACCACCATCTCTTGCTTCCCTATCCCCTCTGATATCTCTCATCAGACTATGTGCCCTCAGTCAAGGCTCATCTCCTCAAATCAGAAAAAAAAAAAAAATTCAAGTCATATTGAACAAAAGAAGTGAGCCCTCACCTCAAACTCCCAGACAGGATCCTCTGCTAGACCTAGACCACCTATGGAGCAGATGGGCAGATATGGTTTTCACAGAAGAGTGAGGATCAAATAGAGGAAGCTGGGGGGGCCTTCAGAGCCCTCTCTAACGTTAGTTAAGCTCCATGCCCAGGCTCATCTCCTGACCCACCTCCTAACCTTATGATCTCTTTCTTCCTTTCATTCTCTTCCTCCTCCTGTTTTCCACCCTTGGCACTCCCCAACCCACCTTCCCATGCTGTCTCTACCCGGAGCTCTATACTAGCCTTGGAAAGGAGAAGGGCAGGCATCATCAACCTCTCTATGGACATAGAAACTGAAACTTACTCCCTGGGTCTCAGGCAGCACTGTAGGTCAGAGAATAAGTCTAGTAGATGTCAACACGGTCTTCACCTATTTATTCTGATATTTTACGGAGAAAGAAACTCGCAAATCTCTCTTTATAGCTTAAGCACCCTCAGAGGGCATGGGACCTACCCTAGAACACATATTCATGCACATAACTAGGTCTCCACACAGACAGACTGACATTCTCTCACACACACAATCCTACTTAAAGCCATTAAATATAGGTATGTCCCTCACAATCACAGACAGACACATACATGCACAAAATTGCATTCCCATGAACACAGGCATAAATAAGCCCATAGTAACACACTGTGAGACCTACAATGTCCTCTATTCCAGTCCTAACCTCCCTTCACCCTCCAGGAAACCTTGGAGCTCCTGAATCTGCTCCTCTATGAAGCAGTGATTGGATTCTGGGTTTTTATTTCTTTGTTTTTAAAGCAGTGACTCTCTATATAACCCTGGCTGGCCTGGAAGTCACTATGTAGATCAGGCTGGCCTCAGAGATCCACCTGCCTCTGCCTCCCAAGTGTTGGGATTAAAGGTGTGAACTTCTAAACCTGGCCCAGGTTCTGGGTTTGGGGACTGCCCAGCTTTAGTGACCCCAGTTCCTAGAACCTTCATGGAATGAAGAGGGGCCTAATTCATGAGACCTCCATTTACAAGCAACCCACCACCACCCAGTAGCCCAGGATATTTGATGGAGTCTACAGGAGAACTGGCTAATTCCATTAATATCAAATCAGGATCTCAGAAAAGATCCAGACGGGTCTGAACATGAGCCACCAGTGCCCGCCAAGCCCTACCCCACAGTGTGTAGACGTTGTCTCTTTGAAGTGGAAGAGCAGGGACCAAAGGATGCAGAAGAGAAAGGCGACGAGTGGACAGCAAACCGTGACTAGGGCCACCATGGTGAAGCGGAGCCGGACTAGGGTCCCATCCCGGTCCAGTGTCAGTGGGACCTGGTACATCTTGTCAGACCTGAGGATGGAGGGCATGTTGTCAGGGTCTCAGGCAGCAGGACTGAGGGCCCAGAGGTAACACTAGCTATGCTTTGGGGTAGGAGTGTGAAGAGACTCCTAAACTCTTACAGTTCCTGTCCTGGAAAAGGAAGACTGACTCAGAATCCCACAGCAACACTCAACTTCAGTTTCTGAGGGAAGAAGGTGAACTTCATCTATACTAAGATAAAGCTTGAAACAGACTGCACAGCCTTCTCCTCAACCTTCTGCCTGGCTAGACAGGCCTTAGACTACAGTAGTTGATTTAGCTAGTCTTTCATTGGTTCAAGAACCAAACTTAAAACCAACTGGTAAATAGACTGACCCATGTCTCCCCACCCCCACTCGCACCCCCAAGTCTCTGCCCCAGCCTCTTGGTTCATGGCCTATCAGTTCTCACTGCTTCTCTCACCGGTGCGGGCCCTGCTGCACTTTCAGGCCCTTCCCAGACTCTGGGGTGCTCTATGCAGCCACAGCAATCCAGGGCAGCAGGGACTCCATGGAAGCTGACAGAACCTCCGTCCCATGATTATCCCTGCCTACTGCCTCATGTGCTCTAAGGGTGAAAGGTTTTGCAGAATCAGGCCGGGTGATAGCCTGGTCTTGCTGTGTATAGGTCAGAACTGCTTGGTCAGCTTCTGGTGGCTTCCCAGTACCCAGTGCCTCCTGAGATGAGGTGAAGGTTCTTGAAAACTGATTTTTCCCTCAGACAAGAGTTTCTGCCAGGCAGTAGTGGCATGTGTCTTTTGTCCCATCCCTCTGCCTTTGGGAGACAGAGGCAGGCAGATCTCAGTGAGTTCAATACCAGCCTGGTCTACAGAGCAAGTTCTAGGACAGCCAGGGCTCTGTGACACAGAGAAGCTCTGTCTCAAGAAACAAACAAACAAAATAAGAGCTAAGTACACACTAACAACCCTAGCCCAACCCCTCTTGGTGTAGAGAAGAGAAGCTGAAGGAGGATTTTACTCAGGGTCAGCAGTAAGGAAATGTAGGGTCCATAAAGAGCCATATATTTCAACTCTGACTTTTTGATCCCTTTCTCTCTGCACCCAAACTCTAGACGGGAAGGTCAGATTAGGACTGGAGTGAGCAAAGAACAAAAGAAAACAAATATGCCTGGCATGGTGGTGCACATCTTTAGTCCCAGCACTTGAGGAGCAGAGGCAGGCGGATCTTTGGAGGCCAGCCTGGTCTACAGAGCAAGTTCCAGAAGAGCCAGGGCTACACAGAGAAACACTGTCTCAAAAAACAAAACAAAACAAACAAATACTTCTTCATACTATATAAATGAGCCAATCTGCCTGTTCCCATTGTAAAGATGGAGAAAAACCAAGAGGCAGAGAATCTCTTCCTCAAGGCTGAGCATGGGGAACAGTCATTCCCCGAGTTTAGGTTTCTTGGTGCCAAGCTATAGCTGGCTCCAGATACATAAAAAACCGGCCCTTCTGGTCTCAAGCCATGACTCTTTCTGGCCCCACCCTTACACAGAACTCTGATCTCAGGCTGGCCTCCTAGCATTCCAGAAACAGGTGGGCACACCTCCGCATTTTCATCTACCTTCCCAATACCTCTCTGCCAGGCTAGACCAGGCTGCCCAACCCAAATTCTCAAGTCCTTCCTTCCCTTTGGGCTAATAAATATTTGGTCAAGCATCTCCCCGAGAAGTTGGAAGTGGCACTGATGACCCTCCCACAGCCAACCCATTCCCTGAATGGGGCCCTTGATGGGAGCGCTTTCCCCACCCAGACCACACCTAGACTATATTTGAAGTAGATTTAACCAGTCCTCCTCCTAATCCCCTGGGAACCTCTGGGCTCCTCTAACAGAAGACCAGATCTTCAGATTAAAGAGACCTGACCCAAGAAAGGGACCAGGAGTTGGTGCAAGGACAGTTTCAGAAACAAACAGGAGAGTTGGTTCCACTTCTTGCCTTTGTGTCTGGCCTCTCCCTTTTAGGTGTGTAACCTTGGACAAGTCACCTAACCATCCTGGGCCTGGTTCAAATTGTACAACAGGAATAAAACACAAGGTCTAGATTACTTCTAAGGCCCCTCCAACTTGGTCCCTGCTTCCTATCTCAGTTTTAGGGGCACACTGCCTGAAGTTCTGTTCTTAGCGTTCTCTTCTTCACTGGGACTCCTCAGTCGATTTTACTTTGTTTTATTTTAGTGTGGTGTGTGCAGAAAAGGTCTTACTGTGTAGCCCAGGCTGGATGGAGACTCCTAATCCTCCTGTCTCTGCCTTCCTGTTCTGGGATTACAGGCACCACACACAGGGCTCTAAAAACTGCTGCTTTTAGGAGTATCCCACTTCATAGCCAATGTCCCCAAAGATCTCACTACCACCTTCCTGTCAGAATCCACATTTTGACCTCAGCACCTGATATACAATCTCTTATAATCCTATCTATTTTAGGAGTAGGTTCTGTCCTCTGAGTTCCCATTTCACAGAAGAGTAAACTGAGCCTCAGGGTGGTTAAAAAACACTTACTCAAAGCCACAGGCAGAGCTGGAATTCAAAACTAGACTATGAGGTTCCAAGGCTCCCCCACGCCTCCATCCGCAGCGCCTGGAGGTATCTTGAGCAGGAGGCCCTGCGGAGTAAAGACAGCGCTTAATCCCAGCACATCTAGCCCCACCACAGAGCGGGCAAGGGGCAGGAGGTCGGCTCAGCGTCTGGCCGCCTACAGTTCCCGGGGTTCTGAGTGTGTGCACAAGGCGGGCAGGCACCTGGACTCCAGGCCTGCGGAGGCCGGACCTCGTGGCGGGGCTCCCCGAGTGAGGTTACCCTGTAGCCCAAACCGGCCATTCCCTTACTCACCCAAGCGTTGGTGGCTAGGGGGCTGGACCGGCAGCCAGGGGCGCGGGAACCTGGAGCCCCCACCCGGCCCGGGGGCGAGTGAAGGGGGCGGGTCGCAGCAGCAACGGCGCGGGGCGGGGCTGGCGCGTCTGGGGCGGATCTTACAGAGGAAACTGGGCCCGTATTTACACTGGCTCCTCCCCGCTTTGGGGACCGCGACCCCTGGCTCTCCTGATCATCTAGCGTCTCCAGAAGGCAAGCCTCTCCAGGTCTACTCTGGCCCCACTATTTCTGACTGTGTGAGAATAGCCAGAAGGGCCCTGGACACCTGGTTTTGACATGTTGGATAAGTTACCTTGTCATCTTACCTCTGGCTGCATGCCATCACCTGTTGAAAGAACATAAAATTAATTCAGCAGGGTCCAGATTTCTTTCTTTCCCTGACCTGGTTCTCCAGTCTTCCACCCTCATTCTAATCGAACTATCCAGCTTTGCACTTCTGAAACATTAAGCCAGTTTTGCCCCAGCCTTGGCGCTTTTCCCTCGAACTTTGCTCTCTATGGCCGGTTACAGCATGCAACAAAAGGAGCTGAGGAAACAAAGAAACCCCACCTTGCAGGTAGTGATACACTGAAAAGCCCATCCCAGAAACTCTGGGCCAAAGCTGTTCCCACCTTCTATCAGAAGAGGGCGCCCTATTTTTTTCAGCCATCTCCCGCGGGCGTTAGGGGTGAGGAGGTCGAAGTTCTGCAGGACCCAACTTAAAGGCTCTTCACAACAAAAAGAAACCAGCTCCCAGTGTTCTTTTCTCACTTTGGTCTGGCCTAGACTGACCCATAAACTGAACTTCTCTGAAAAGATTATCCTACCCAAAAAGGAAGGAGGGGTGAGGGACCAACGAGTTCTCCTGTAGGCATCTTGGGGATTGCCAGGACCACCTACAGCAGATGCAGAACTTCTGAGCCAGACAGTAATACGTTTTGGTATCCTTTATACCCTAGGCACATTTCTACTTTGTATGTATTAACTCATTTAATCCTCATAAAAAAACAAGGTGGATACACTTTTGGTTTTGGTTTTGGTTTCTGGTTTTCAAGACAGGGTTTCTCTGTGTAGGTTTGGTGCTTGTCCTGGAGCTCACTCTGTAGACCAGGCTACCCTCAAACTCAGAGATCTGTCTGCCTCTGCCTCCTGAGTGTTGGGATTAAAGGTGTGTGCCACCAACACCAGGCTTTTTTTTTTTTTTTTTAAGACAGAGTCTCCTATGGGTAAGATGGCTTGTTTAGTAAGACCTCTGGGTGGATAGGATGGCTCAGTGGCTAACGGTACCTGCCACCAAGCCTGACAACCTGAGTTCAATCCTTGGAACTCAGAGTGTGGAAGGAGAGAACTGACTCCCACAAGCTGTCCTCTAGTCTCCACCAGCACTCACACATCACAGTAAAAATGATACCCTCCCCACAAAAAAAAAAAAAAGGTGGGTGGCGGGGCTGGAGAGATGGCTCAGAGGTTAAGAGCACTGGCTGTTCTTCCAAAGGTCCTGAGTTCAGTTCCCGGCAACCACATGGTGGCTCACAGCCATCTATAATGAGATCTGGTGCCCTCTTCTGGTGGGCAGGGGTGCATGCAGACAGAACACTGTATACATAATAATAAATAAATTTTTTAAAAAAGTGGGTGGGACTTCTTAGTGCCTCCACGTCTTAGTGTAGGACTACAAGTGTATGTCACCAACCTATGATTTATGGATGGCTGGGAATCAAATGTTGGTACATGCGAGGCAAGCATTCTACCAACTAAGTTACATCCCTCTCCTAAGCTAGAAATGATTAATATCGCCACTTTACCCAATGGAAAACAGAGAAGGTACATTACCTATTCATGTGCCTGAAGTCATGCCAATAATCTCTATCAGAGTCAGCCCCATAGAGTAGCTATAATTGCCACACTGGAGAATGGGAAACAGAGGCTCAAACTGCTGGTTAACTTACAAGAACTCTTTTTCATGTATTTAATCTTGTTAGTTCACTTAGACTAAACCCTTTCTAGGACAGGTATTGGGCTGAGCAATTGGGGGGGGAGGTCCAGACCCACTCTTTGGGGCTCCAACTCTAAAGAAAAGATTTTTTTTTAAAGATAGGGTTTCTCTGTGTAGCCCTGCCTATCCTAGAACTCGATCTGTAGACCAGGCTGGCCTCAAACTCAGAGATCCACCTGCCTCTGCCTTCTGAGTGCTGGGATTAAAGGCATGTGCCATCACCACCCAGCCAAGAAAAGATGTTTTAACTATAAAAGCTGTTTTTCTTTTTATTTCAATTTGAATTTTTAATATTGTTTTTGGGGCAGGGCCCATGTGTGGAGATCAAAGAACACCCTTGGAGAGTCAGTTTTCTTCCTTCACCATATGGGTCCTTGGGATCAGACTCCAGCTGTTAAACTTGCTAGCATGTGTCTTCAACCCCCAGCCATCTCACCAGCCTTCTTTTGCTTTTTCTTTCTTTCTTTCTTTCTTTCTTTCTTTCTTTCTTTCTTTCTTTCTTTCTTTCTTTCTTTTCTTTTTGAAACAGGGTTTCAGGCAGTCTTTGAACTCACTACATAGCCAAGAACAGCCTTGATTTTGAAGCAAGTATATGTGAATTACAGGTGTGCACCACCAAGCTCACTAAAGCTACACAAATTTATTTTTATTTTTTGTGTATATGATGTACATGGTGTGGTTTTGTGGGTGTGTGTGTGTGTGTGTGTGTGTCCTGCATGTGCCATGGTCTGCATGTGGAAGTCAGAGCAAAACTTTGAGGAGTTGGTTCTTCTCATACTACCATGGCTTCCTTCCTTCCAGGGATAAAACTCAGGTTATCAGGCCTTCGGAGTGTTTTTACCAGATGGGCCTTCACAGTCCCAAAGCAACTTTTCTTGACTGAATTCTCTATACCATGCTCTTAAGGTTTCTAGAACAAATAGACTAGAAAAATTTTACTAAAATGGCCACTTCTTTTTTGTTGTTTTGCTTTGTTTTGTTTTGTTTCGAGACAGGGTTTCTCTATGTGGTCTTGGCTACCCTGGAACTCACTCCATACACCAGGCTAGCCTCGAACTCATAGAAATCTGCTTACCTCTGAGTGCTGAGATTAAAGGTGTGCACCACCACCACACCACCACCACCACCACCACCACCACCACTGCCAGGCCTAAAATAACCACCTCTATCCACTCTCAGCAACTAGATTTGTGTTTCCTGTCTTGGGGCTTCATGTCTTCTGTCCAGCTCCACCCCAGTGGTGCCTACTCCTTGCTCTTGTTCCCTCTTTTGACTCCTTGACGGTTCCTGTGGCCCTAAATACTGACCCCTGAGGCTGAGTCCTTCAGTTTCTAAACTACTACCAATTTTAAACTACTACCACTGTCTGGTTTGAGGAGCTCTGATCTTGCATTTGATTCTCTTGGCATCTGTACAGTGTGGACCATTCACCTCACACTTCTGAGTCTGTTCCTTCATCTGTAAAATGGCTTGAGGGATATCTACATCACAGAGTGCTATGAGGACTGGAGAAATACAGCAGTGGCAGGCAAGTGGAAGGTACCCAATATGTGAAGGTTGTTACAACCAGACAACAAGCTACAGTCAGAACTCATCCTAAGCCTTCTCTGACCTCAGTAGTCAATGACCCCCTCTAAGCACATTTCTGTTTGGTTTATGTAAGGGAAAGTAGATGAGTGTTCTTATAATGTGCTAGAGACTATAAATACTCTTCCATTTGTTCCTCTTAATCTGGACAGAAGAATTTGGTGAAATCCATCATACAGATAAAGAAGTCGAGCAAAACAGAAGTCAAAGCACAGGCCTGTAATTTCCACAGTAGGGAGGTAGAGGCAGGAGGACCGAGAGTTCAAAGATATCCTCAGCTACATGGTAGATTTAAAGGCAGCCATGACTCTGCCTCAAAAAGCAAAGAAGGGGGGATGTAAGTGGGAAGATGGCAAGGTGCTTGCTGTCAGACAATGACAACCTCAGTCTTTATGGTGGAAGGAGATGACCAACTCCCATAAATTGTCTTCTGACCTCCACACACAAGGTAGGCATTTGAATGCATGCAGACAGACAGGCAGGCAGGCAGGCAAAAACAACACACACACACACACACACACACACACACACACACACACACACACACACGAATAAGTAAATAAATGTTAAATTTTTTTTTTTGGTTTTTTTTGTTTTGTTTTGTTTTTTTCCGAGACAGGGTTTCTCTTCATAGCCCTGGCTGTCCTGGAACTCGCTCTGTAGACCAGGCTGGCCTCGGATTCACAGAGATCCACCTGCCTCTGCCTCCCCAGTGCTGGGATTAAAGGCATGCGCCACCACCGCCCAGCTAATAAATGTTAACTTTTTTGAAAAAGAATTAGAAACTGAATGAGCAATTAGGCCTCCTGTCTCTCCTCACCAGCAAGCACTCAGTGCTTCCTAACTTGGCATTTGTCCACTGTGCAAGTAGCTGCTGCTGTTGATAGTCTCTGGTATCTCTTATTCCCCTGTGGATTTGCTTATATTTGGAAATACTCCAGACAGTCTTGTGCCTTAAATAGCATCATCAATGTCCAGCTTTAGCCACAGTTACCATTCAGTCTCCCTGTGCACACCCACATACCACACCCTTTCAAGCTGACTTAGTGTTCACAAAGATATTCCAGCACCCAGTAGCAAAGAGGCAATGTATAAACAGGGGGCAGATAAGAAGAGAATAGAGAATGTGTCAAGAAAAAAAGCTCTAGGACAGGCACCAGAACTACACAGAGAAACCCTGTCTCAAAAAACCAAAGAAGAAAAGAAGAAGGAGGAGGAAGAGGAGGAGGAGGAGGAGGAGGAGGAGGAGGAGGAAGAAGAAGAAGAAGAAGAAGAAGCAGCAGCAGCTCTGTGGGGCTGGAGAGATGGCTCAGCAGTTAAGAGCACTAGACGCTCTTCCAAAAGACTTGGGTTCAATTCCCAACACCCACATGGTGACTCATAACCATCTGTAACTCTGGTTCCAGTGAATTTGACACCCTCTTCTGGTCTCCTAGGGGACAAAGCATACGTATGGTACATATACATACATGCAGGCAAAACATCCATCCACAAAATGAATAATAAGTAAAAAAGATTTCCTATAAGA